AAGTCGGGGTCGAGATCTGGGGGATGTGTCCAGTCGGCGAAGTTCACGATGGCGTCGCTGTCTGCGGTGCCCAGGTCTGGGACGAAGTCAAGGACGAAGACGTTGTTCTTCAGGACTGCCTTTCCGATGTAGAGGCCGCCCTTCCCGTGGTATAATTTGAACTCCTGGGTGGTACTGTCGGCTTCCAAGTGAATGCCTTTCGCCATCAACTGGCTGACGCTCAGTAAGTTGTAGCCGAGTCCCTCCGCGATTAGTACTTTTGACATATGTAGTATAACATTTGTCTCTCGTGACTGAAGTTGTACTACTCCTTGTCGTCGTGTGCGCAGATTCTGGTTGTTGGCGACTGTGATGACGACCTCTCGTTGAAGTCGGTGTTCGCGTTGAACGAAACGTCCTGAGGAGCACATGTGTTGTCCGCAGCAACTGTCCAAGAACCAAGTGTCTTTTCCGGACGGTTCGCTTTGAGCGATGGCAGCGTACGTCGGGTTCGGTTGAAGTGACTCGCGGCGAGGCGTGCTGTTGTCGAGTTGTTCTTCTGGTGAGTAGTATGGTGGTGACTCGGTTGTGTAGGAATCTGTTATTTTCACCATACAGTTGACGATGTTTCTTGCTCCTTGTGCAAGTTGTCCTGTTGGAGTCGTTGAAGCTTGGACTGAAGTTGTCGGGTTTGCTTGCGTTGAAGTGACTTGGGAGCTTGAAGGCCGAAGTTGTCGTTGTGGTGTTGTCGATTGCTGACGATACGGGCAGTGCGTACGAGGATGCCCTGAAGTCTTGCAGATGTGGCAGAACGGAGGTACTGGCTTCACTTGTTGTTGCCGGTTGTTGTTGTTGTTGTGGCGTCGCTGAGTGTGAAATGCGAACTCTGGTACTGACGTTTTCTTCTTGTGTCGTTCTTCTTGCAGGTCCATGTCCTGCTGCCCGGAATGGATTTCGGCGCAGAGTGCTGCTTCTGAGATTCTCCCGTGTGCTCGTAGTATGGCGCGAGTGGAGCGCCAGTGAGGGCCAAGACTGCCGATGACGACCGTGACGAAGGCGTCTTCTGAAATCGATCCTCCACCTCGAAGGAGCTTGTCGCGCAGCTCGCGGCAGCGACTGATATACGCCATTCCCTTTTCGCCTGGTTTCATTTCGATCGTTGTCAGCTGCGCCATTAACCGGCTTTGGTTTACACTGTCTGTTGCTTGATACAGGTTCTTCAAGTGGTTGTACGCGAGCTCCGCGGAGTAACCGTAACCTCGGTAAGTCCTTATGTTTTGCTGTTGAGTCGGGGTGATGTTCCTCAGTAGTATTGTGTACGCCATCATCGATTGATAGGTGTACTGCTGCTTCTCATACTGTGTGCCGTTTGTTGGATATGGCAGGGACCCGTCGAAGAAGCCAAGGATCTGCGCTCCTTCCATCATCAGCTCGAATTCAAACGACCAGGTAAAGAAATCCTTCCCGTAGAAAGGTTTTGTCGTTTGTAGTTTTAGAACATGCGCGAACTGCGACTGAACTTGTAGTGCGTCCAGCGCTCTTTCTTGTCCCGGTGCAGGTTGTGGTTGTGGCATGAAGCTGACGGAGCCGCGCTGGGGCTCGTACGGAGCGAAGGTAGGTTGTTGTTGTTGTTGATTTCCGCGTGCGTAGGATGAGCCATCGAGACTCATGGGCGTCACGTTGTTGTTGTTGTTGCTGTTGTTTGATTGCGCAGGTACTCCTTGCTGATGCTGCTCGTAGAAGGACATGAAGGAGAAGAATTTCTCCATCATGCTTGGATCGAAGCCCGCGCCTTGGTTTGCGGGTGTTTCAGTAGACCCAGCTGCTGGTCTCGTTGTTGTCCCTTCCTCTGTCTGTAGGCCAGAGGCAGGAGGTGGAGTAGGGGTAGTACCGGGAGAGCCGTTGGAGGATCTCCTCTCCTTTCTAGCAGACATGTCTTCTTGATGTATTAAGTGTTGAAGAAAAAGAGTAACTTTTAACTCTAACTCGCTCTCATACCATGTTGGGCTGAGACGCCCTAGGATCTTCCGTTATCGCCAGAGGCGTCCCATCCACGAGGCGAGCGTCAATTTCGGGCAGACACCTGTCAAGTTGCAGCTTGCATCTTTTTGTGCTCGCCAAGTTGAAGAGGCTATGGCTGGCCCCCCCATCGACGAACATTTTCAGATTATTTTTTTAACACCTTGCCAGCGACTAGCACAGGGTGATCCACATGATTATCCCCGTTATTCGGCCGAGTGCGATCGATTGCATGAATCGGAACCACGACTCGGTGGGGATGATGGTGTTCGGGCGACGGAGCACAGTCAATAAAGGGCCCGCTAATTACTGACTCTTTCCGTTTCCTTGCTCCTTCCTGTCGTCCCCTGTCAGCGGCATTTTCTCCTGGCAGTCTTTCCTCTAGTGACCCACCTTCCCACACCGAAAACACGGACCCTTAGGAGGGCGGTCGGGTGTATGGACGGCGTTAATCGTGGCCCGATGGGTCTGGCCACGAAAGCTTCTCCCATCCCTGGAAGCTGCTCTCGCGTACTGCATCAGCGCATCAGTTGACGCCGCCACGCGTACTGCTTCGAGGAACGATGTCGGGCGGGTTTGGCGGACCTCAAACTGTATCTCATATTTAAGGCCACTGACGTATTTATCCAACCGCTCTGCTTCCGACATGTCATCGATCTGGTCGGCGAAGCCCATAAATGACGCCGTGTAGTCTTGGACAAGATCCATCTGTGACCATGCACGCAGCTTCATGCGAGCTTGCTCCGAGGCGGATACGTGCTCGAAGCGATCTCGTAAGGCTGCGCCCCACTCCTTCCACGTGCGTATCTTGGTCACACCGAAGATCGGTTCTGCCACTTGATTAACCACTGTAGAGGTCCCGTCTGCCACATGTGTCACACCTGTCGGAGTCCCTGTTTCTAAGGTCCGGCGCCACCACTCAAGCGCCGCGCCCCGAAGAAGTGAAACTGCATAATTAATACGCGTGGCATCGTCGTTAACGCCTGCTGCCGTGAAGAAGACCTCGACACCGAACAACCACCCCTTCACTGTAGTTGTCTTGTCCGTAGGATTAAACGGGGGCGGGTTGACGGGCTTGATCTTGATCGTCGTAACTGCAACTGGCGCTGCTGCCGCTCGCTGCCTATCTTCTTCTTCGAAGTCACGTGTGAGAGCATCCAGTGGGTTGCTTAGAGTTGTCCGCCATACGAATTTGCCAGTATCCCGATCCAAGGTCGAGCTTGGAGAATACCGTAGCACCGCGAAGTTGATCGAGTAAGTCGTCGATCCGTGGTATCAGGTATTTATTTTTTACAGTCAGCTTGTTCAAGGTGTTGAGATAGAGGCGAGGAATGGGTGCACTATGAAATGAAACAAGTACAAGTACCAACCCTAATTGGGTTGTACCCCCTATGGGCTACCCCACTACAGCCTAAATATATGCATCAGTAATATAATCATCTGACACACCCCCATAGGCAAAGTGGGGGAGAGCAAGGGGTCACAAGACCAGTCAAGCAAAGCAAAGCAAAGCAAAGCAAGCTCAGGGTGGATCTCAAGGATACCACACAAATTCCGAGCACAAGGTCAAGGCCACAAGGCCAGTTCACATGCAGCAGAGCATATATATATAACAGTGCTAAACAAGCAAGAGCAAGGATATATATATGCAGCAGTACAAGCAAGGTCAAGAGGTAAGCAAGTGAGGCCCAGTGGGCACAAGGCCTAGCAGAGTGCAAAAGCGCTGATGGTCACGAGGCGGAAGTGCCTTGGTGAACACATCAGCAGTGTTGGCCTCAGTGGCCACGAAACGCAGGCGAAGCTGACCACGCTGCTGCAGCTCTCGAGCAAGGAAGTAGCGCAGAGCAATGTGCTTCGTCCTGTGCTCCAGTCTGTGCTCCTCACACAAGGCAATGGTTGCCTTGTTGTCGACGTACAGCACTGGAGGAGAACGAGGCCGCTCTCCAAGGTCAGTTAGCAGGTAGGTGAGCCAGCGAAGCTCCTGGGCAGCCATGGCCGTGGCGTAGATCTCAGCCTCACAGCTGGAGCTGAGAACCGAAGAAGAGCGAGTAGAGCGCCAAGAGACAGAGCCAGAGCCAAGACTGAAGGTGTAACCCTGAGACGACCTCTGAGTAGCCTGGTCATCAGCCCAAGAAGCGTCTGAGTGCCCAGTGAGAACAGGCCGGTCTCGCCCTCCAAGCACTAGCCCCATGCCCGACGTACTGCACAAGTAGCGCAACACCCTCTTAGCTGCATCCATGTGCTCCTTCCGGTGACGGCCGGGAGCAACATAGCGTGCTAAGATGCTGAGAGGGTATGCGAGGTCAGGTCGAGTGCAAGTCATCAGGTACATGAGGCAGCCCACAAGCTCTGGATACGGACCACTCGACTCTACGGACTCATCCGAAGGCAGAGCTGAGAGCGAGTGTCCCGTAGGCAGAGGAGTGGACTGAGGCGAGGAGTACGTGAAGCCGAAGCGCTGAAGGACCTGCTGCACCATGTGTGACTGAGTCAGGGTAATGGTGCGGCGTGCTCTGTCCCGGGTGATCCGCAAGCCAAGATAGCTTGTCAGTTCACCCAGGTCTGTGCACGTGTGTCTCTTCTGCAGCTCGGACATCACGTGGGCGAGTGCGGCAGTGTCCGCAGTGGCAAAGACCAAGTCGTCGACGTACACGAGGATGTAGAACGGCGGCAGCGAGGTGTCGGTGCGCAGAAACAGCGACGGGTCAGCAGTAGAAGGAGCAAACCCAAGAGCCGCAAGTGTAGTCCTCAGTGTGTCGTGCCACTCACGCGGCGCCTGGCGGAGACCGTAGACTGGCCGCCGGAGGCTCCATTGGGTACCAGGAGGGAACGACCCAGTGAAGCCAGGAGGACGGCGCAGCCAGATCTCCTCGTGCAGGCGGCCCTGCAGGAAAGCAGTGCTGAAGTCAAGAGAGTGTAGCTCGTAGTCACGCTGAGCAGCGACGTGCAGTAGAACCCGAAGAGTGGTCATCTTCGGGGTCGGGGAGAAGGTCTGAAAGAAGTCAACTCCCTGTCGCTGACTGAAGCCACGAGCCACGTAGCGCGCCTTGAAGACAGGCGGAGAACCCGGCGGCCGCTTCACCCTGAAGATCCACATGCCACTGACAATGTTCGCCCCAGGAGGGGGAACAGCGTCAACGTAAGTGCCTGTGGACTTCCAGGAGGCCATCTCTGCGTCCATGGCTGACTGCCACTGAGAGGAGTAGGGACCGGCCATCGCCTCTGCGTAAGAGCGTGGGGTCGGGATGTCTAGAGCATCCGGGTCTCCCTCAGGGGCAACAAGCATGGACACGAGATGGGGCAAAGCGGCGGCAAAGCACTGGAACTCCTCCTGCCTGTCCTCAAGGACGTCCGTGCCAAGAGCACAGTCACCCCCGACGGACGGAGGACAGGCAGACGCAGACGCAGCAGACGCAGACTCAGCAGACTCAGCAACAAGACTGGCAGCGTAGTCCAGACGACACGCAGCAGCAAAGTCGACCAGCTCAGCAACTAGGGCAGACGCAGCAGTGGACTCAAAGGAAGGGTCAGTGACAAGAGTAGCAAGAAGACGCGTGACAGTAGGACTGGCAGCACGGTGAGAGTCCGACTCCGGGTCGGCAAGAGTAGGAAGAGAAGACTAAGGAGGAGAAGGCAAAGGGGCACGCAGAGGAGCAGTGGACGGATGCAGAGACATCTGGTGCGTGCCAGGGACAGGAGGAGGACGCTGACGCGAAGCGCGACCACTAGTGCGAGCAGCTCGGACTGGCGACACAGGGCGGGACGCAGGCTCACGACGCTCAGCAAGACCTCCAGTAGGACCAGCGTAGGGAGAAGGAGAAGGCAGAGGAGAGGCGGGCTGTAACTGTGACCGTGACGGGACAGGCTGCGGACACTCTACGGGAGGAGAAGGACCAGTGGAAGGCGGGAGACCAAGAACCTGCTGAAGGAGCGGAACGAAGTACGGCCGAGGCCGCGCAGCACCGCCAGAGACAGCAGGGACAGCACCAACACCTCCAGAGGCAGCACCAGCACCAGTAGCAGCTCCAACTCCAGCACCACCAGCAGCTGCAGAAGTATCCGCTGTAGGACCGACAGTCTTAGCCTCAGCGCCAGCACCCGCAGCAGCTCCAGCTCCAGAGGCACCCCCGGGCCCGGCAGCTCCAGTACCCTCAGTACGAGCACCTCCGGGACCCGTGGTACCAGCTCCCTCGGCAGCAACGGAACCTCCAGCACCCGCTGGACCCCCGGCTCCAGCAGCTCGCCTCCAGCGCCGGGCAAACCACTCACGCAGCTCCAGTGGAGAGAGCGGCTCGCGGCGCGAAGAACGGTCTGGAGAACCACCAGGAAAAGAAGCAGCAGGCGCAGCACTCCCATACGCAGAACCCCCAGGCTCAGCACCCCCAGGCACAGCACCCCCAGGCTCAGCACCCCCAGGCTCAGCACCCCCAGGCTCAGTACCCCCAGGCTCAGCACCCCTAGGCTCAGCACCCCCAGTCGCAGCACCCCCAGGCTCAGTACCCCCAGGCTCAGCACCCCCAGTCTCAGCACCCCCAGTCTCAACACCCCGAGGCTCCGCACCCGCAGCAGCACCAGAGTCACCAGTGACCTCGACAGGCTCGACCGCGTCTACCTGAGACACACCAGAAGGGGCAGGACCCTGAGGGGGGAGGGGGTCTACCGGGGGGGGACCTGGGACCAGGAAGAGGGGCGGGGGGGGGAGTGACGGAGTGCGGTAGGGGAAGAGTCGGTAGAAGGGAACCGACTCGTCGAACGTGACGTCCTGGGAGGACAGAACACGACGAGAGGTGGGGTGGTAAAACTGCCACCCAGGTGCGTCAGGGGGGAAACCCAGGAAGACGCAAGGAGCAGCACGAGGGGACAGCTTGTCCGCAGACAAGTCGCGGACAAACGCCCGAGATCCCCAGACACCGAACGCCGACGCATCGCCAACCTTCCCCGTCCACAGCAAAGCTGGGGAGGTCTCCGGTCTGGAGACCCTGGGCTGAAGGTTGATCTGATGGGCGGCGTACCTCACCGCAAACAGCCACAGAAAATGGGGGGCAGCCGCATGCACCATGGACGTACGGGCGACGTCCATGACAATGCCGATGCGGCGCTCAGCAATCCCATTCTGCTATGGAGAGTCCGGAAGCGTGAAGTTCTGGCGGATGCCTCGTGCCAGACAGTAGGCCCGCAGAAGGCCGGAGGAGAACTCTCCGCCTCTGTCCGAGTGCAGACGCAAAACAGGAAAGTCCGAGCCGAAGCTCCGCCTGAGCTGGAGACGAGCTGCGCGGATCCAGTCGATCAACACCTCAGTGACCTCACCCTTGCTGCGCAAGGGGAAGACTGTGGTGTAACGCGAGTAGTCGTCAACCACCAGCAGGAAGTAGCGCTCGTGACCCTGTCCACGGACGCGGGCTGGGCCCCACACGTCCATGTGAAGCGTCTGCATCGGGGCCTCCGTCGGAGGAAACGGGGAGGAGTGAGGGGTAGCCCGCAGGCGACCCTCGACACAGGGGACACAGGGAGGGCCAGGTCCCGGAGGAAGAGGAGGGAGGGACCGGGGAAGGCCAGAGACAAGAAGGCGAGAGGCCATGCCCCGGAGACGAGGCAGGGAGGGGTGACCCATCCTGTGGTGCCACAGGAGGGTCTCGTGGGACAGGAGGCGACACGAGCAGGGGGCAGACTCAGGACCAGACCTGGACGCTGCAGCAAACACCTGACCCGACGCAGCTACCTGACCAGACGCAGGAGGAGGAGGCGGAACCGTGAGTGTGTACAGGCTCGACCCCGGCCCACGTGTGAACGTGGTCAAGTGTCGACCCGTGTCCGCGTCCGTGCAGTGGGTGTCCCGTCGGCGTGCAGGGGTGAACTGGTCGACCCCTGCATCCTGTAGGTCAGCACCCGCCACCAAGTTCGTAGAGAACGAGGGGAGGTAGTGTGAGAGGACGTCCCCGTTATAATATTTTCTCACTATTATATTTTTCCGTTATCCCATTCTCCCTTTTCTCCTCTTTATTTTGGTCTTTATCTCATCTCAATCGGCCTACTATTCTATTCTCTAGAGCCTTCTATTTATTTCTCTTATTTCCTACTTTTCCCACCGACATACCTATTATACGGCACCGACAGCGCCGACAGTGGTGTATACGGTGTAATCTGGGCGTAATCCCAAGTGCCAATAGACTTGCGTGCTTATGCGCACTTGTGATTGTAGTATCGGGAAGGGTGTGTTCCCGAAGGTTCGTTTTATCTCGTTTATCCTTGTACTTTCCGAGTATAAATAGGCCTTGTATTCAGTTTTAGTGACAAGTTTCGATTGAGAATTCGATCCTGTGACACTTGGTAATCAGAGCCGTTCTCACTCGACAACTCTCGGCTAAGCAGCGGTCGCGGAAAAAATCGCCTCGAAAAACCGCCGGGGGCGACCAATTCGACGCCGATTTCTGGTAAGTACCAGTTCCGCGCTTTTCGAATTAACCCCCTCGCGTGGTTTTTGAACAGGATGGGTTCGCCGGCAACCAACGACGTTACGCAGCAGCTCTTCGCGCAAATCGCCAAGATGGAAGCGGAGATGCGAGCGACGACTGAACGGTCGCGATTGGAGAACGAGCAGATGCGAAACGAACTGCAGCGCGTTACGCGGCTCCTCTCTACCATGAACATTCCTGCTTCGACGACTTCGCAGCAGTCGCAGCGTCGGTTCGAGGTTCCGAAACTTCGCTCGCCGGAATCGTTCGACCCTAGCGATCGAAAATCCGACGTCAGGCGGTGGCTCGCGACGATGGAAATTTATTTCGCGGCGATCGGATGGACGACAACGGAGTACGACGGCGAGAAAATTCGTCTCGCGACAACGTTGATGCGCGGTCCAGCTCTCGAGTGGCTCGGAAGCAACAGTAGCATTTTCCAGGGCGAAGCCACGTGGCAGCAGTTCCGGGCAGACCTTCTCAAACGTTTTGAGCCGATTAATTCCACTTATATTGCGCGCGAAAAATTACATCACCATAGGCAATACGGGAGTGTCGCGCAATACACGCAGCAGATGGAGGAATTTTATAATCGCATTCCCGACATTACCGAGGGCGAAAAAATTCAGTCCTACATCGTGGGGCTGAAAACTGACATTCGGCGCCAGGTTGCAGCAGCGAATTGCAGCAGCTACAGCGAAATCGTATCGGCCGCGGAGCGTTTTGACTTGGTCAACTCCGGGACACGACGACCCCACGTCGTCGGATCACGACAAGGGGATCGCTCGGCTTCAACCACGTTCGCCGACCCCATGGAAGTCGACAAATTCGACGCGAGTTCACGTCCGGCAAAAAACAAAACACTTTGCGAATTTTGCGGCGGGAACGGACATCGCATTGTCGACTGTTTTCACATGAAATCAGCACGTGCGGCATTCCGAGCTCGTGGGAGTGGCGAAACTAAAGACAAAAAGTCAAAAAACGGATCTCGCCAGTGATTGCGGATCGTGCTGGCGAGAAAAAACAGATCCGAAAGCGTCAGCGCAATCTGGACCGAATCGAAATTGAAGGACAGCATTGGGCGCGAGATTTGGAGAATCAAGGGCGAAATCCCAAGCCCCTTGACCGAAATTTGACAGAGGAATTCGCCGAGGAAAAGAAAACCTCCGCGAAAACAGACTCGACCAAGACGGGAACTCTCCAATTCGACCCTGGAAAAAAACAGAATTCGTTAAAGTTATCTTTCAAAGATGCTTTAATGAAGACTGGCGATTTTCGCGGGTCCGGAGCCATAAACAAATTCCGGGAAGAACTCCAGAGGAAGCAAACAATTAAAGAAGTGGTACCGGTGCCTACGGAGCTGGGGAAAAAATTAAGGAGTGTGGAAAGGAGTAGACCTTTTCACGGCGTCAACGTCCTCTCGCGGAACCAGCCCAAGACGACTCTCCACTCCCCAGGGAAGAAGTCTATGGAGCTGAAGCAGCTGAAGAGGCAGCTGGGAGTTCAAAAGAAGCTGCAGAAACTCCGAAAACCCCTCCAGGATGCATCCAGTGGATCGCAGGCGTCGACCGGATCCACCCCCTCAGGGTCAACTTGTCAGATTTATATGACATAGTTTCTGTAGGCTATAGTGGGGTAGCACATATGGGGTACAGGGTTTCTAGGGTTGTATTTGTACCCACTCTTCCTTAGTCATTTCATTCCTGTTTTCCTTGTTTCACATGGTATAGAGCGGGTCCTACCTTAGGACCGTTTTCTTAGGGCCCACCGAAGCGCGCCCCGAGGCGCGCATTTTTTTTAGCGACCCCTCGGGTCGCCTTTTCCCTCGCGGCCCCGCTGTCCCTCAGACGCGGCCCCGCCACCTCTCCTGATCGCGGCCCCGCCGCCTGCTTGACGCGGCCCCGCCGCCTCCCCTGACGCGGCCTCGCCGCCTCCCCTGACGCGGCCTCGCCGCCTCCCCTGACGCGGCCCCGCCGCCTCCCCTGACGCGGCCCCGCCGCCTCCCCTGACGCGGCCCCGCCGCCTCCCTTGACGCGGCCCCGCCTCTACTGCCGCGGCCACGGCCCGCCGCCTCTGATGGCCCCGCCGCTGCACCCTACGGCCCGCCGCTGCTCCTGCCGGCCCGCCGCCTCACCTGACGGCCCCGCCGCTGCTCCTGCCGGCCCGCCGCTGCTCCTGCCGGCCCGCCGCTGCACCTGCCGGCCCGCCGCAGCACCCAGCGGCCCGCCGCCTCTTACGGCCCCGCCGCTGCACCCTCCGGCCCGCCGCTGCTCCTGCCGGCCCGCCGCCTCACCTGACGGCCCCGCCATTGCACCTACCGGCCCGCCGCTGCTCCTGCCGGCCCGCCGCTGCTCCTGCCGGCCCGCCGCTGCTCCTGACGGCCCCGCCGCTGCACCTACCGGCCCGCCGCTGCTCTTGCCGGCCCGCCGCTGCTCCTGCCGGCCCGCCGCTGCTCCTGCCGGCCCGCCGCTGCTCCTGCCGGCCCGCCGCCTCACCTGACGGCCCCGCAGCTGCACCTACCGGCCCGCCGCTGCTCCTGCCGGCCGAGCCGCCCCAGCAGCCGAGCCGCCCAACGCCGAGCCGCCCGGGACCCGAGCTGCCCTGCTGCCGAGCCGCCCTGCACCCGAGCCGCCCAGCCACCGAGCCGCCCGGGAGCCGAGCCGCCCTGCGCCCGAGCCGCCCAGCCGCCGAGCCGCCCGGGAGCCGAGCCGCTGTGCACCCGAGCCGCCCGGTCGCTGAGCCGCCTTTCTGCATATCTACACGACCTGCCCTGCCTGGTGAGCACAGTCCCACTGACACTACGAGCTCTTTCCCTACTGCTTGCACTGCGTCGCTGTCGTCGCCATGGCTACCCCTAGTGTCCTAGCTTTTGACGCTGAGGGTCGCGCCATTGATTTTGAGGTCTGGTTAGACGACCTGCAGCTGTTCTTACAGTGCGACAGGGCTGACGACCTTTCTCTCTTTGACCTCACCTCTGGCGCCTCTCCTGCTCCTGCTGCTGATGCTGATCCCGCTGTCCGCTCTAAGTGGGCCACCCGCGATGCTGCTGCACGTCTTGCTGTGCGTCGCCACCTCCCTACCTCTGAGCGTGCGCACTTTAGTCAGTACAAGAGTGCTCAGACCTTGTACGACGCTGTAGTTGCGCGCTACTCCTCCCCTGCCACTGCTGCACTGAGCCGTCTCATGCTTCCCTACCTCTTTCCTGACCTCTCTGCCTTTCCCACTGTCGCTGACCTCATTACTCACCTCCGCACTAGTGACACTCGCTACCGCGCCGCCCTTCCTGCTGAGTTCTGCGCTAAGAACCCCCCCCCCATGTACATCGCTCTCTACTACGTAGTCGCGCGCCTCCCTGACTCCCTTCGCGTCGTCAGGGACCACTTTCTCGCTGTCTGTCCCACCACCCTCACCGTCGACCTCCTCGAGAAGGCCCTCCTCGCAGCGGAGAAGAGCATAGTCGCTGTAGGTGCTTCTCGTGGTGACCCTCGCACCCCCATCTTTGAGGGGTGCTCTCCTTCCCCCTTGCTGCCCTCTGTTGCCTCTGCTGCTGCTGCCGACCTGCTTGGTCTTGAGTCGGTCGGCGCGGCGTCTACCCCTAGTGGGAGACGTCGCTCTAGCAAGGGCAAAGGGGGCAAGGGCGCGGGTGGAGCTGGAGGGGGCGGTGGCGGTGGCGGCGGTGGCGGCGGAGGAAGTGGGGGTGGTGGCGGGACTAGTGGCGGGGGTGGTAGTGGTGGTGGTGGCAGCAGCGGCGGAGACGGTGGTGGTGGTGCCAGCGGTGGTGGTGGAGGCAGCGGCGGAGCTGGAGGCGGCGGAGGTGGAGGCGGTGGAGGCGGCAGCGGAGGCGGCGGTGGTAGTGGAGGAGGTGGAGCTGGTCGGGGTGGTCCCCAGCAGCGTAGCGGCGGTGGTGGTGGCCAGCGCTCCCAGCGGCAGCAGCAGCAGCGCTCGCGGGACATCCCTCCGCCTCAGCAGCTTCGTGAGTGGTATGCTGGGCGTCAGACGGGTGGGGGTACTGGTCCCTGCACCTACGTTCTTCGTTCCGGCGACCGCGCGGGTGAGCAGTGTGGGGGTGCCCACGCCACTCAGCGCTGCTTTGGCCGCCTGACGGACGCTTGGCGTCGGCAGTTCC